CCTTACTTCAGCTTAGATATGTTGAGTGGTGGCTAGTTATGCCACGTCACATTGGATTGGTACAAAATATTAAAATTTAAAATAATAGTCAAACGGGGATGTAGCTCAGATGGTAGAGCGCTCGCTTAGCATGCGAGAGGTACGGGGATCGATACCCCGCATCTCCACTTCCACTCCAATTCTTCCTCCTGTTTTTGTCCATTTGTATGAGTTTTTGGAAGACAAAGTCAAACAGTGTTCTTTGTTAAAACCAAAAGATTTCTGACGTCAAATTTTAATGATTTTGCATAGTGGCTCTGTCACCTATCTAGAAGATACAAAAATTTCTCCTGTTTCTCTCTTATAAATTTAAAAAACCATATATAAACTCCACCATCCAATTATTTATATTCTCAACAAACAAATCCATCTTATTTTATACGTCCATGTGGGATCATGCAAAATTGCGCTCAACCCCATATGTCAACACTTACCGTTAATACATTTTCTTGTGGTGGCTGGCCAATTACAATTAGGACAATTTATTCAGTAATTACTAGACCAAAACCCTCTTTTTTTTATTATGAATAATATTAATTAATTAATTAAGCCCCTGTAAGACTTTCCTCCTCAGGGCGGCTGTCAAAGTCCAAATAGAAAACCAGCCTGAGATATTCCTCCTTCACACCTTCATGGCAGAACATTCAAAGTCACGGACACGTTAGTTCACCAAATTTTCCCCACTGCCTTTCACTTTTGGTTCTTTTGGTCACAGAGCAAATAGAGAAAACAAAAAACATAAAAAACTCATTTTTCATGTTCATAGTCTCTCAAGAATTCAAACATGGCTGATCAGAAGGACCAACATCAGCAGCAGCAACCCCATGGCTCAAAGAGAGAAGAAGAAGAAGTCATAACAACATTTTCTCCCACGATATTTTCTCCCAAGTCATTTCCCAGGAGAAGAAGAATCAAATACTGTGGAATTGTCATTGCACTTGTTCTGCTCCAGATTGTAGTGCTTGGGGTGCTTTGCCTCACTGTGTTTCGCTTCAAGGATCCCAACATCAAGCTGGCTGCAATTTCTGTCGAGAATTTCAGCACGGCGCTTGGAACATCCACTGCCATCAACATGACACTGAGGGCAGAAATTAAGGTCAAGAATCAAAACTGGGGAAAGTTGAAATATGATGAGAGTGTTTTGGTTCTGTCACATGAGGGTTTAACAGTTGGAGAAGGAACAATTCCAAAAGGGTCTATTAAGATGAGGCACAGCGAGCAGGTGAGCGTTTCGGTGGAGGCAAAGCTTGATGGTAGATCATCATCAAGCAGTGATATTAGTTCAGGGGTTTTGAATTTGAAGAGCTATGCCAAGCTGAGCGGGAAGGTGAGTATGGTGGGTTTGGTGAAGAAAAGAAGAAGTGGGGAAATGAATTGCAGTTTGACAATTAGTTTGGCTAGGCAGGCAATCCAGGACTTCCACTGCCAATGAAAATTCTGACTCGGAAGAGGCTGGAAACTTATTGCTTTCTTCTTCTTTTTGGTCTGGGATTTTTTATAGACTTTACAGTATTTTCTGGAGTTTCTCTGTTGTAGTTTTCTCTGATACTTATCCTGATTATTGTATATGCCTTTTTTTTGTAAACATTTTTTGTTCTTAAGTTTTAGCTTGTTCAACCTAAACTAGCTGAATGAAATCTTCAATTTGTTTTTCCTTGCTTAATTTTCCTATGCAGAGATTAAATAACCGAATGAAATCTTTAGTAAATTTTTAGTACTGTCCGATGTACCAAACGAGCCCATTACTGCAATAATTTGATGCTGCTTTTATTCATCTTTTAAAGATGATTTGGTTTGCAGTGAGGAACCAAAATCCAAAACCACCATGGTTGAAACTTGAGAGAAAAAGTAAAGAGATTTGCAGCAAGCACCAAAGACAACGAAATATCCTTATCTGACTTTTGGAAAATTGGTGCAATTACTCCAATGATGGATTCATTTTTCTTTCCCTGGACCCTTAAAAACTATGTTGCTTTCAAGGATTTAGTCAAGGGAAAGAACATGTATTGATATTCTTGAAAGTAGCCAGCTAGGTCCAGCAGAAGCTTCTTTGAATTTAACGGTAGATGTTTTTGTGTTCTCATATCTAGTCTCCACAACTAAGAGCATCCACAATGGGCTCCCCAAACTACCTCCTTAGACAAATTTTAGTGAAGAATTATAAAAATACAAATTTATAAATAAACCCAATCCTAGACATGTATTTATAAAAAAACCCAAACACTATTTAAACATAGAAACACACCCAAAATCAACCCCAAAGTCAACAATTGTATATTTTTTGGGTGTGTTTATAAATGGGTTTTGAGTGTGTGTAATGATGGGTTTTGGGTGTGTTTATAAAGTGTTTTGACTCATTTTGGGTATTTTAGTGAAACTCCCTTATAAAAATACAACTACAACCATGCTCCTTATCCACTTCCTAAAATATAGAGTCTTTTAGGAGCTCCTAAATTTGAGGAGAGAGAAATGACTCCTAGTGACTTCCTATTGCTTTGTTTTATGAATAGTTTAAATTTTTAATTAATGCTAATTATTATTATTATTATTTTATAGAGATGGATTCAATGTTGCACCAACACGGACACACGGAAACGCGACACAAAAAATCTCAAAAAATTAGGACAAGGACACGGCAATTAAAATAATAATAAATACTAATAAAATTATAATAGTATATACTTATATATATTTTTAAAAAAATCATACTCAATACTTCAATGTCAAATACCATAAAACAATGTATTTTCACAGGTATAAACTCTTTCTTCAATGTCAAATTCATGTATTTTCATACTGAATACTTCAATGTCAAATTCATACTCAATACTTCGCGAGCCATAGGCGGATTTCTTTCTTGTGTTATAAACTCTTTCTCATGTATTTTCACCCGATTAACTACTACTATAGTCTATAGGCGAATGGCTGGTGTCGGCAGGGCCAAATCAATCACATGCAGTGCAGGAACACTAGTTTTTCACTCTAAGGGGAAGGTAAAAACTACCAAAATCAAGCACATTCACATTTGTACGATTCCTCCCTAAAATTTGTCTAAGGAGGTGGTTTAGGGAGCCTATTGTGAATGCTCTTAGAGCATCCACAATCATGCTATCTATTTTTAAGTTAAAATTTAGCTAAAAACACTATAAAGCTATTTTAGGAACTCTCTATAAAATTTCAACTCCAACCATACTCCCTAGTTTAAAGAGTCATAAATGTTTTTAATGTTTTTTAATTCAATTTTAAAATAAAGTGTGGACACAAAAGCAACAATAACAAATAATTGGTTTTAAATAAATGCTTAAAATAATATTAAATAAAGAAGCATTTAATTCTAGGGAGTCAATAGGAGTTCTTTATCTCCCTTCAGATTTAGGAGCTCCTAGAGATCTCCTTATTTTAGGAGCTGAATAAGGAGCATGGTTGGAGGTGAGTTTTTTCAATTCCTCCCTAAATTTTAGCTAAGGTTTAGTATGCATTGTAGATGCTCTAAGTCAACTACATTAGTATGGAGCTTAATTTTTGTATATGCACTCAACACACGCAAATATGCATACAAGGTTTTACACCCAACTTTAGTTCTCTCTTTGATTTCTATTGCTATGCTTTGTTCAAGATGGTTTTGGCGAAACTTATGGAGAGAAACAGGCCTGCAAGATTTTAAAGGGCTTTGGCAAGGTTTGATATGCAACAACATTTGTGTTTTGTCTCATGGCTTTAAATTTGACAGGCCCAAAAGGTGGGAGGTTGGGAATTTGGTCCGATCCTATATATGGAGGTTGGAATCCAACTCACAAATCACATTAACTCTCACATTATAACATATAATATATAATTTATAACATTTCAATACGTATCATATAATAGTTTCTCACGTATCACCGTCTCATAAAATCAAAATTAAATAAAATTAATTGTATTAGCCACACAGTGGGGATCACTATGTTTGCACTCAAAGAGAAGAGGGTTAAAGAAACAATCGCCAAGCAATTAGTCACATAGTGGAAGTAGTAGGTAATGAGCAACATCTATCTTTTTTGTACTTTACAAAGTAAAATCTAGTCAAAAAGAAGGTTAGGCCTTTTCCGTTATGAAGCCTCTTTATATTGCAGTAATGCTGGTAGATGAAATGTTATGATGCTAATTTGTATAAATATAAATCTTGTCAAAACAAAAGAGTGCCGGGGAAAGAAAGGCTTCCTTCCTTCCATCCATTTATTTAATATAAATAAATGGAAGATGAGAAAGTAGTTAAAAGTTGGTGGCACACTACGGAATAATTATACGAATTATAATAAGAGAGATTCATTATTATACTTAATATATAAGCTCAAATTATAAAAAAAATCATATATGATACGGATTTTAGAAACGCACCCAAAGTTCATTTACAATAATTTTCTATTTTAGATGATAATATAGTCAATTGCATGAAATAATTATTTTTAGAATTTCATATGGTTTGTCTCACTCAAGTAGGCACCAGCACAACCATATTTGACAATCCTTAAAGAGACCTCCCGTCTGCATAAAATCAATCTCTCTCAGAATTATCATATCGTTATATCGGAATTTAATTAACTTACTCTAGTGCAGCAATTCAGTTCTTTCATATTTCATTCAATTATCCCTAAAACGATGCGTTTTGCATATCTACAATATCAATATAGAAAATATAAATAAAAACTCTTCACCACATCTAACAGGAGAGGGATTCAAATTTGGGTAAAAATGGGACGAGTTCAATACTCTAGCTAACTGGCCTAAATCCACATCTACCTTCATAATTGTGTTTCTGTACCTAAAAAAAGTCATATGTTCATATTTTTATAGTGTTTCTGTACCTAAAAAAACTCAAACTTAGCCCATCATATACATATATACTCCCACTTCCCCCTAAACAAACACTATAAAAATACACTACATTCATTTACATATTAACACTAACTCTTCCAAAACCTCAGCTTTCCTTAACCCCTCTCTCCTCCCCATCTCTTCTCAACCCTCTAGCCATGGTGGATAAGGAGCAGGTCAGACCACTAGCCCCCGCCGCCAACGGCCAGAGCAGCGACGCCGATGAGGCCGCCCTTCCCGTAAAAAAAGGTAGACTAAAAAAGTTCATCTACTGCTGTGGCGGCATAACAGCCTTGCTCTTAATCCTAGCCGTGGTGATCATAATTCTAGCGTTCACTGTGTTCCGCTTGAAGGAGCCAAAGATCAAAATGAACAAAGTCACAGTTACAAGGCTGGAGCTGATCAACAACAACACAACCCCTAAGCCAGGCTCCAACATATCGTTAACAGCCGATGTGTCGGTGAAAAATCCCAACGCGGCTTCGTTTAGGTACAACACCACCACCACCACTCTATATTATCACGGCGTGGTGGTGGGGGAGGCTCATGGATCGCCGGGCCAGGCTAAGGCCCGACGGACCATGAGAATGAATATAGCTGTTGATGTCATAACTGATCGGCTCACATCTAATCCCAAGTTTGGGGCGGACGTGGGATCGGGGTTATTGACTATGAGTAGCTATTCTAGAATTCCAGGGAGGGTGAATATGTGGAATATTATCAAGAGACATGTGGTTGTGAAGATGAATTGTACCATGACAGTTAACATTTCCAGCCAGGCAATTCAAGAACAAAAATGCAAGAGGAAAGTTATCACTAGGTTTGTAGTTTATTTATAAGTTTTTTATGTGGAGAAGAGTGAGTAGAATATACGGAGTATATGGATGTAAGCTTTTATAAATATGGTTATATGATACGTAAATGCGTAGAACTGTACTTTAACTCAATGGTATACCCTCACCAAAGAGTTTAAACAAACTCGATACAAGAGGCGAACACATTGACCTCACGAGAGAGTTGTTATTATATCGTTAGATTATTAAGCATATAATATGATACGTCATCCCTTTCATTTAGTCTTTGTTTATTCTGATTTTCTTCAATATTGAATCACTCCACTCCAACACTTTGCCGGTACTTATAGCCAATGCCCAGAAGTCAATTATCGATCATAAAATAAAATAGCGTATGTGTGATGACATGCTTATGTAAACAGCTCTCCTGAGGATATTTAAACAAATTAATAATTTTAGATTAGTTTGGATGCCAACGTTCCTTCAATGACATTTAATTATTTCCAAGTGGTCTGGCTTTTGGGGGCCAAATCCAAATTCTTTGATCAAAGAAGATCGCGTTGATCAAAATATCATACGTATTGTATAAAAGAAAAACAATTCAAGTCGAAGCTCAGGGTATACAGAGCTCTTAGCTAGAAAGGAGAAAGATCTCGTCTACTTTCCCAACATGGCAAGTTCATGAACCCTTCATGATCTTTTAGCATTCTAAATCTAGGGATTTTACTTCATTTTTGTCTTCAAAAATTAGTTTATAATTTAATGTATAATATTGAAAATTATCCACTTTATAACACATGTGGATTGATTATATAACATGACAATGTTTTAAAAATTACACAAAAGTCTCTCGCTTCATAATACTTAAATTTAGTTGTATGAATGTCAATGAGGTCTAGTCCACTGAAAAATGACATTGAATTGCAGACAGATTTTGAACCTTGTTAGTGTAAACTTAGATTTAGGCATTTAAACCGAGAGATCCGAATACCGACTATATTGTATTAATAGCTCTATTTTTTATTTCTTAACTTAAAGAAAAACAAAAGCCCAAGCCCAATTCAAAACCCATAAACCATGCAAATACAGACAAAATCAAATCCTAAGAGTCGTTCTACCCACCACCCAAAAAAATGAAGCAATAAAAAGGAGAGAAAATTAGGAGAAAATTTTAGTTGTAACATGGATAACGCGATTTTCTTCTTCTGACTAATAATATCATGTAACATAGCAAAATCGTGATATCCCAAAATTTTCCCTGAAAATTAGGGTGATAATCACTACCACTTACTCACCACTCACATTTTCCCACCAATTTAATGCTGTCTCTGGTGTGAGTATTAAATGCAGCAGCTGGAGCACCCACCCACCTTCTCTCCTCTCACCCCCCCAAAAAAAATCCCACCCAACTCCCAATGGCTAAAACCCCCCTTCCTCCTCCCCTCCTCTTCCAATGTCGTCCGCCCCAAACCCCACCCACCCCTCCACCCAAAATTACCTAACTACCCTCGGACTCGGCTACGGCATCGCCATTGCGCTCGGCTTCCTCGTCCTCTTCTCCACTCTCCTCCTGGCCTCCTACATCTGCTGCCGCGTCTCCCGCCACCACCACCACCCGCCTCCCAATCCGAACCGGAACCCGAACAACTCCGACGGCATCATCCTCCCCCGAATCATCTTCGTCGCCGAGGATGACAACGACCAGCAGCAGCAAGACGACGATGAGAACGCCGTCGTCGGGATCCACCAGAGCGTCATCAACTCCTACCCCAAGTTCTCCTTCTCCAAGGACGTGGCGGCCGCCGATTCATCCACGTGCTCCATCTGCTTGTGCGACTACAAGGACGCCGAGATGCTCCGGATGATGCCCGAGTGCAGGCACTACTTTCACCTGATGTGCCTCGACGCCTGGCTCAAGCTCAACGGGTCGTGCCCGGTTTGCCGGAACTCTCCGTTGCCGACGCCTCTGTCCACTCCGTTGCAGGAGGTCGTGCCTTTGTCTCAGTACCCTGCCGATCGGAGATGGAGGAGGTGACTGATTGTCCTGATTGACTGATATCTTCTTGGGTTTTAATCCTTCTATTTTTTATTTTTAGTTGTTTGTTTTGGGTTTAGGGTTTTCTGTTTTCTATTGGTTGTGTTCGTTTGGGAATTGGGAAATGTAAATTTGGTTTTTTCTTCTTCTTCTTCTTCGGGTACTGATTTTGTGACATTAGTGAAGTGGGTTAAGCACAAACAACTGTGTCTCATGAAATTTGTTTAATGTTAATTACTTTGATTTGGGTGATGATAAAGTTTTCGAATTCATTTTTAATCATCTACATACATGGTTGCCAACTTGTGTTTTCTTTCTTGCTTGGTACCTAATCATGTTGAGTACTTGAAAAAACCAATCTAACAGTAAATCTGGTACCAATTCTTTCTTCAATCACAAGGGTTATAGGGTTAGGGTTGCTTGTGCTTCAATTCAGCTTTCCATAAGATATTTGCTATTTTTTCTCGAGAGGGGGGAGACTTGGAGCTTTGAAAAAAAGTCAAATTTAACTATGCAAGCATTATGCAGCAACAGTGTAGCACGTGTTTGTTCAGTGTTGCGGCTGATCCTCTAGATGTCTCTTAATCACACTGCATAATAACATAATTACCACATTTCTAATGTTTGATTAATTCACCCTTCGCCTTTTTTTTCGTTAGATTTGAAGGAAAAGGAATTAAAAAAGTGAGGATAAAGAAGACCTGATCCCCATATTCTTAATAAAACAAGAAATCAATCCTTCTCAATGACTTTTGCATTCTGATAAAGTGCTCATGAAAATCAGCCCAATAAGCTCTTCGATCAAATAAAACAAATGCAACCTTTGGACTCTGATCTCAACCTTTGGACTCTGATCTCAAAGCTTCCAATCTCTATGCACCCTTTAGATTTGAATTGTTGCTGAAAATCATTGGGATTATATTTGGTTAGCGCTTATTTCGAAAGCTGCTTTTCTTTTCTGTAGCAGCATACAAATTCCAGCTTTTCATCTCAGTGTGAAAGATATGAGGAAACCTAATGTTTTTAAGAAGTTAGGAACATGGAGAGGAGGAATTCGCAGCTCGATCTTTGTATTAAGTATCTTTGCTCTCATAATCTCTCTTGGTACTTTATCCAAATTCAACTCTCTCGGATCATTTCATGTCACTGATACTCTCTGCAATTATGTAAACCCTGAGAGCCAAAGCAGGCCAGACAGCCACGTGAGAAGAACTCTTGAAACTGTTATTCAGAAAATCCAACAAGAGCTCGACAAGTTCAGAGATTCAGAACCAGAGCCGTCTTCATCGAAACATGTGCTGAAATACAGTTCCTTTCTTGCTGATATTTTGGGGCATATTGAGTCAGTGCAGACATCTCTGTCACAGAATGAAGAGACTCATGAGCTGAACAGTGGTGCCAAAGACATCCATCCTCTCTTAAAACCGAAGCAGCAATCCGATGAGCCTGCAGATTACTTTCTGATCGAGGAGATTCGAAAGTATGTCAAGATCAAGCCGAATAGATTAGGAAAGCAGAATTTCATGGGAGCCAATGGAACTTTCACCAGTATTGGCCATGCTTGCTTTGCTATGAAGAAAGAGCTTGAAGAATACATGGACTATGACATTGGTGAAATCTGCAATGATGATTGGAGGCTGGCTCAAAAGCTAATGGTTCATGGATGTGATCCACTTCCAAGGAGGAGGTGCTTTTCCAGGGCTCCAAAGCTATACAGCAAGCCATTTCCAATTCATGAGTCCATGTGGAAGCTCCCTGATAATCGAAATGTCCGGTGGAGCAACTACAGGTGCAAGAACTTTACTTGCTTGGCAAGCAAAAAGACTCAAAAGGGGTTCTTCAAATGTGCAGATTGCTTCAATCTTCAAGACCATGAAAAGCCCAGATGGATCAAACCAGCATATCTAGACACCAATTCAAATGTGACTGCAGATTTCCTAATCCCTGAAGTGCTTAACATCAAGCCTGGAGAGATCAGGATTGGACTGGATTTTAGTGTAGGAACTGGGACTTTTGCAGCCAGGATGAGGGAATTCAATGTCACTATTGTCTCAGCAACTATCAATCTTGGGGCACCTTTCAACGAAATGATAGCTCTTCGTGGACTCGTCCCGCTTTACTTGACGATCAACCAACGGCTGCCATTTTTCGATAACACTCTGGATTTGATCCACACAACAAGATTTCTAGATGGCTGGATTGATTTTGTGCTGCTGGACTTTGTTTTGTATGATTGGGACAGAGCTCTGAGGCCTGGGGGTTTCTTGTGGGTTGACAGCTTCTTCTGTTTGAAGGAGGATTTGAGTGATTATTTGGAAGCCCTTAGGATGCTGAGATATAAGAAGCACAAATGGGTTGTTGTTCCAAAGCTTGATAAAGATGATAAAGAGGTTTTCTTTTCTGCTCTATTAGAAAAGCCCGGTAGACCTTTCCGGTAATCTTAGATTTGATCTTAATTATGTCTGATAATCGCATAATTGATCTTATGTCTGATAATCTTTATTGTGTTTACATGAGCTTAAAATTTTGAATATGATTTCATTTCCAGTTAGATGAGGTTCAATGTGAATGTGATGTGTATGCCTAGTTTTTTCTGCCACAAGGGAAAAGTTTCAGCAGAGTCCATTTTTTCTTGTCAATACAATAATAATGACCAGAAATTAGAGGAGTTCACACGGCCATTTTGCATTGTAGGAGCTGTTTGTCAATTTCAGTCATCAATTTTCCCATTTTTCCTTGCTGCAGATACGGGTCCACAAATGTCAAGTCGAAGAAAAAGACACTAATATTAGGTATATTGTTGTGCAGACCAGTAACATGAAACTTGTAGATGTAGCAGTTGCCCAACTTCAAATATTTTCAAAATGTTAGGATCAGTTGCTTACACATAAGCGGATAGTTTCTAGCCGTTGATACACATGAGACTCGTAATGCATCAACGTGCGGGTGACTACCTAGCCAAATCCTTGCCAAAAACATGATGCCAAAATAAAAAATGTGAGAGCCTGCATCTTGAAGGGTCCTGCGACGTGAGGGCAGCAAGAGTCTTTGTGATCCATGGGCTTCAGGCCCCTCACTTGATAGTTGTTTGCAATCAAATAGCAGCATTGTTTTTTTCTTTTGCCAAATAAATATTACTGCATGAAAAAGAGTGGACATCAATCATAATTTCATCTCAAGGGTAAAACTCGTTTTCAAACTGATTGATTGTGACTCAAATGTCGACAGTCGATGCACATTCTTTTTAGCGGACTCGGATTGCTGTCCAGTGGGCCGACTGGCCCAGGTCTCTACCAGAAACTGACGTATTCCGCCAACGAGCAAGATTCCAAGGTCCCATGCCGAAGAAAAGATAAAGAAGAAAGATTCAAAAGCTGCATTAACAGCTTAAAAGTGTAAAAACCCTCTTGTAAAGTTTAATAAATTACAAACAATTATCTTTCGTCTGGAGAGTTAATTTGTACTCGAATCAAGGTAAAATAATAGCTAAACAAAATCCCTTAGAAAGTTGAAACTTTACAACTTCCTATTTTAGCGGTTAAAAGTAAGCCTAAAATCTCTGAGTTATGATGCCAACTCATGCCAATTTTATTTACCGTGCAAATTTGGGATTTCTTTTTTCTTTTCTTTTTTCCATCCTAGATCTTAGGTTTTGTCTGAAGCGGAAAATAATACCTCTCAATTATTAAGGAAAATAATTACCACTTCAAGAAATAGTGGCGACTTTGACAAAAAACCAAAAGGAAAAGAAAAACGAAATCGTGGCGAGTCATGCTAAAATTCTTATTCGTAAGATAGTTTTCATACACAAATTACTCACTCATATTTTCTGTGAGAATTCAACTCACGAGCTTTCAATGCCTAAATTATAGACTTTTTTGAAGTAGAAAAAACCTATTGTTCTTGTGTAGGATATAAAACCTACCAACTTTTCATACAATTAATTTTTGTTCTACTTAATTTCGTTATAAACTTGCCAAAGTTTTAAAATTTAAATTGATCCCTAAAACCATCCCCATCACAGAACAAAAAAAATGAAGGGAAGTAAACAACATCCGAATCTATCTCTAATTCTCTCCGTCACACACACACTACGTGGAGCCCTCTAAGAAAAGTGGACCCCACAACCCACCACTAAAAAAAGTCACCCGACCGTCCAAACCACTCATGTCTTGATTGCTCCGCGCCACGTGGTTCGCAAGCTTTCAAACCCAAGTCGGTCACTTTACCATTTCAAATTTTCCCGGACCAACTGGCTCTGGACCCGAACCGCAAGGCTCGAGCAAATCAACAAGATCAACGGCCCAGATCTAGTCTCGTGTCCCGCAACCTTATATAGCTCGCTCTTATCCCAACCCCAAAACCCTACTTTACTCTCTGTTATTATTTCGGTCACTCATCTGAAAGTTTCGGGAGATTTCATTTTCATTTATATTTTGTTTTTGGGGTTACGGAGATCATGGCTGACCAGTCGGAGAGTGCCGGTTCGACGGTGGAGCACGACAAGTCACTGATGGAGAAGATCAGCGAGAAGATCCACGATCACGAGTCGTCGTCTTCGTCGTCATCTGACTCGGATAACGAGAAACCGGAGTCGCCCAAGTCTGAGAAGCCCAAGGTTTTCAGGATTTTCGGGAGGGAGAAACCAGTTCACCATGTTTTCGGTGGAGGAAAGCGTACGGGCATCCATTCTCTCTCTATGAAGTTTTTTATTTATTTTATTTTATTTGAAACTAAGAATCATATATTTTAGAAGTAAAAAATATATTTGAACATTGTCTTTTGAAAGAAGTGAAACGAGTAAACCAGTTTGATTTGTGTGTGGTTGTGTAGGCTGTAGGTTGATCTGAGATCGTGATTATTTTTCTTGGTTAGATGCTTTTATGCTTTGTTTGTGGGTTTGATTTCTTATTTCTTCTATTGTTGTGTTCGGATGCTAGGAAACTGTAGAAAAAAAATATATGGGCAGGAAGATGCGAACGTTTGTGTTTTTCGAGTAGAAATATTGAGTTACTAAGTTCCTTTTTCTTCTTATATATTTTCTTTTGCAATGGTTCCGATCTTCTTAGTTGATCTGTTAAATCACTTCATTTACTTTGATATTTGGATCTTCGATGCCGTTTGGTAACTCGGATGCTCTATCTTTAGTTATCACATTAGAGTTCAGACTTCAGATTTTGATATTTCTGAAATGTTGCAGCTGCTGATGTGTTCTTGTGGAGAAATAAGAAGGTTTCAGCTGGTGTTCTTGG